AAACCATATATATATATATATATATATATGGGTGTGGTTTGTATAGAGCCGGGCTCTAAATAAGCAAAGTGAGACGCACTTTCAAATAGTATCCAGAAATATGGTTTCAATACTGGAAATCTTTGTGATAGCCTTAAAATTTATTTTCATCTTTAATTATAAATTTTAAAACTTAAAAAATAGTGAAGATCGGACAGATCTATGAAAACTTGAAAATCATGAAAGTTGATGGTCTAAACATGCTTCACAAGATGCACTATTTCCAAAACTTGAAATCTATTTTTTTCTCATGTTTATGCATCTTGATGTCGAGATGATCAATTTGAGGATATTTGAGCCTCAAAACTACCTCTTCTAGTGAAAATTTTGAGGAGGGCTCTAATTTGATTTTTTTGAGCCTCGGTTCTATAAAAACTTTTCTTAATTTCATGTCACCAGATCATTGTAATGTAATGAAACCACACTTCTCAAAAAACATGTTTCTGGCATCACACACTTTCTCTTCATCGCAATCGTCATCCCTCAAAAAAATAAAATTCAATTTGCACTTTAGATATGGTAAAATGAGTCCCTTCTTACAATGAATTTAGACGGTCTATTTGGTGAATTTCTAGATCTACCCTTTATGAACTCAAAATCATTCTTTTCCTATTTAACATTGTCTATCTAGTGATAATAATGCTATCTAAGAAATTTGGAAAGGTAAAAGATCATTTTTTAAGGCCCAAATCTAATCATCTAACTAAAATTGATGAATTATGTTAATTGCTAAAAAAAATACTTTCTAGAATGTGTTTTCAATTTTTTTTTTTTGGTGATTGTACATTGGAATGAAAATAGTATATATATAACAATTGAGGTTAAACAAATGGCCCTAACAAGAAAGAGTGTTTCATTACATTATTACACAACCATTGCATGAAATCACTCCTCTATATATAAATATACAAATAATTATACGGAACATGAGTGAATTTGGATCATAAAAGATTTCTTCTCGGAGGTGCCCAAAACTTGGGGATGTAACTTGAACAAAAGGAGCTAGAAGTATTCAATTCACAAATATTTTTTTTGATGAGGCTTGTGAATATTTTGTAGTAAACTTTGTAGTAAAATAATGGACCTTGAATCTAGAAAAAGCTGATTGTCCATTTTCTTCTTTGAGTTCTCTACTTTGGGTTATCTCCTTCCTTTTCCACTTTCTCCATTTTCTTCATTGATTTGCTAACTCTGACCATCTCCTCTCTCTTCCTCTTCAAGGCCTCGATTATGCTTTGAAGTACAACACCAACATCCTCACTCCTCATAAGTTGTTCAGCTACCTCAGCTGGGGTTACCTCCACCTCCTCAATCAATCCTCTAGCCTCTTGAAACAAGGGGTGATCATCTACATAATGATAATTGGAAAACAATTTCTTGAAGCTAAAGAAGTTGCAATACCCCAAGCGTATGTGCTTGTCCATCCTGCCAGGCCGGAGTAATGCCGGATCAAGCTTGTCCTTGTGATTTGTTGTGAACACGATTATCCTTTCGTCCCCACAACTAGACCACAATCCATCGACAAAATTCAGCAACCCTGATAGAGTCACCCTCATTCTCTCTCTGGATGGGATATTGGTCCATGGCTTGCTCTTCCGCCTTTAGCTCCACCGTGCAATCAATATCCTCAACCACCAAGATTGATCGGTTAGTGGTGGTGATGAGGAGCTTTCGTAGATCAGAGTCAGATTGAAGAGATGAAAGGTCAAGGTCATAAATGTCAAATTTAAGGAAGTTGGCCATAGCTGCAATCAGGCTCGACTTTCAAGTGCCTGGAGGGCCATAGAGCAAGTATCCACGCTTCCATGCCTTACCAACTCTCCTATAGAAGTCCTTTCTCTTTGAGAACCCCTGAATATCAAGCACGATTTCCTCCTTTAGCGACACATCGATGGCAAGGGTATCAAATGTTGCCGGATGGTTGAAAATCACATGGCGCCATATTTCTTTCGTGACACCAAAATGGAAGTCAGGGTTTAGGGTGTGGAGCTTCATCAGGCTCTTCTCTTCTTTTATGGCCTTGCCATGAGCCATGATGTGAAGCAAGTACGAGTCCAAAACCATGTCTTTGTGCTTCTTATGAATAGTAAGCTCAAAGAACCTGGTTTCACTCATGGAATCCGTTCTCACATGATCCATGACCACACTTGGAGACTCGTAGCACACAAGCGTCCATTTGAACTCCACACCTTGGAAGGTGTCTACAAGTTCCTCATTCCTTTCAATGATGACCTTGAAGCCCTTCTCTTTTTCTGATTTCACAACCCGTAGCCTCTTGATGGTTGGTGAGTCTTTGTTGCCTAAGTAGATTTCAACAGCTTTATAGACCTTGTTGACCTTAAAGCCCTAATAATCTTCAATCACCATGGACAATTGTGATGAGAAACGTTTGCTGAGCCAATGTATCCTTGAGGATATATAGTTGTGGATTTCACGGGGGAGGTAATCCCTGATTATTGTATGCATGAGAATTGCAGAGGCAGCTGTTGAAGCGATCATGGATAGAATAGCTTTCGCCGAAGACATGGCCAAACGGTTCTCTCCGGAGAGCACGACCAGACTGCAAAAAATTGAAGGTAGCTGTAAAGAGGTGGGATTTCTTACTTTTGAGAACTAGTCTTAGGCCCAACAAGGAAGAACAAATTAAGGGACACTACAGATTTTCCAGGTAATCCGAGGTTTATTACAGTTGATACTAGAAAGCAGTATTGCGAATTTCAAATGAAAGTGGAGGAAAATAGTGGTAATGAGAACTTCACCTTAGTAGTGGAGACTTTTGCTAGGAAACAGTGAAAGTTGCAATACCAATGAAGAAAGCAATGGCAATTCCAAATGAAGTGTTCCCTAATCGAGTTGTGATTCCTAACTATGATTGATTCATTGGGTTTTATTGAGGTGTGAGCTTAACGGGTTCTACAAGGCATCGTGAAGAATGGAGCAAAGACTCTTGCCATGACTTGAAAAATGCCTAGACTTTAGATTCAAAGTCTTCATCGCAAATTTCCACAAGGGCATTGATAGAGGGGAAACAATTTTTGAACTATTACATTTGACTAGTAACAGTCCCAACTCTGCCCCTAAGCCTCGCGAATTTGAGAAATAAGTCAAATTATTTTTTTCCACTCTTTTATGAATATTATGATCTACAAAATAAGTCACATTTTTTTCCACTCTTTTAAAGGAAGAAGATACAAAGTCAAGGGATATGCAAAACCTACCCATTTTGTGGGTCATAAGGTTTTAATATTGTGGCAATCTGAATTCACAAACAAAATTTAAAGAAACTACTTAGCTCCAAAATGGTTTGGGAGAAGATTTGAGGGGTCCGCAACTAAACATGGTCAATTGTCATTTCAAATAGGAAAAATCGGAAAAGATTTGAGAGGGGCTCCATTTTCCTCCATTCCTATTCATTTTTCGATTTTTAGAGAGAGAAAGTGTGAGACTTTTCTAGAATGAAAAAAGTGGCATTGTAGAGAGTTTTGAAACCATGGCTAGCTCCTCCAATCCTCAAGGTAACAATTTCTTCTCTTCTTCTTTCTTTCCATGATTTCTCATGCTTTTTATCATCTCATGCTTCCCATTTCCATTTCTTGTATGCTCCATGCGTAACCTTATGCATGAATATTCATTTTTGAACATTGTCTAGCATAGTTTTGAATTCTTTGAGCATAGTCTTGATGATTGAGCATCCATGAACATATTTTAGCATTTTTTAACATCTTGATCATTCCTTGAACATTCATTTGGCATCTTGAGCATATTTTGAGCATCTTCATGATTATTTGAGCATCTTCAAGGCCTTTTCACGCACCCCTTCATATTCCCATGTATTTTCGAACACCTTTATGATTTCCATAGCATCGTCGTGCATACCTTTGCACTCCCATACATTTTCGAACATGGACCAGCATCTTTTAGCATCTTGAGGCCATCTTCTTGAACATTTTGGCACTTCGCATATATTGTTTTGAATATTTGGGCATCTGGGAGCACTTTGAGCATATTTCTTGAGTCTTTTGGCATCTTAGAGCACTTTTATGCACTTTTCAAGGCATTTTCGTGTGCCCCTTAGCATTCTTGAACATGCTTTAGCACTTCTAGCACCTTCATGGCATAGTTTTGCATTTTTATGCACAATTTGGCTCTTTTAAGCATAGTCATGCATAATCATGCACTTTTTAACATCTTTATGCATAGTTGTGCATTTTCTAAGCATTTTCTTGCATTTTTTAGCATTTTCATGCATATTGAGTACATTTTATGCTAGAAAAGAGAGCTCTTCAAGGTCATATTTTGTGATAGGCTTGACCCACGGACTCGTGACCTCTTTGAACCTCTCGGGTGCTTTGGATTAGCCGATAACTTCTTATGCAAACCTCCGGCTTACAAAGGAGATGCTGCTGAAATTTTTCAAAAACTCTGATACCCTCTTTTCTTCTTTCTTGAATTGTAAGCTCTTTCAAACTTTTGCTTTGCTCATTTCTCACTCTTCTCTCGTACTTCTTATGCAGTAAAAATTCTTGATGTGATTCAACTACCATGCTCTAGGGAGTTGGGCACTGACTCTTATATCAGTGTTTCCTTCAATAGGAGTTCATCTCTCGGAGTTCTTAAACTTACTTGCGACATAGAATGACCATTGAGCATCTCCTATTCAGGTGAAAATGCCCTCTTTTATCTCTATGAGAATGAGAATGGTGAACAAATAATGCAACAAGATGGTATACCCATATACCACTCCATTCATAAAAAGTATGACTCAAGTGCAGACATTCCCACCTTAGGGAAAAGAATGATCGTGAACAATGACATCCACCGGTCTGCTCGTGGGATTCGGTTTGAGGGAGAGCGCTAGTAAATGAGAGGGTACAACAACTGGACTTTTAATATCCTACGATCTCATTCTAAAGATCTTGAATCATGCTCCTTAGATGCAGCTTGTGAATGTTCGGCTAGATGCCCCAATACGATAAGAGCTCTATTGGAAACCTGAAGCTTCATGAGAAATAGCTGGCTTCTTGATCACAGTGAGGGGGGAAATACTCTCCTTGATATGCATTTTACTCGTGGGCTGCCAAACATAGGAGCAATGTATGAGGAGTTCATCCTTAGTAATGGGGTGATTTTTGGAACTCAACTCATCAACAGCGAAGCACCGCCTCCCAGACTCCACGAGCTCTTTGAAATTTATCAACTCTTACTCTCAGAGAATAATGGCTAGATTGTTCATTTGGTCTCTTGGAAAGAATTCTTCCATGGGATCCGACAAGATAAGGAGGAACCCAATTCTAGTGCCACCTAGGATGATGACAATCAAGAGAGGGAAACAAAGAGCAAAGAACCTATGATTCCTCCTTGAAGGCCTGAAAAGGATCATGTATACCTGGCAGCTTACCTCACTCTTTTCCTGAGCAAATTTGAACTTTTGGGGTCAAAGAGCAATGCAATCCATCCCGGATGCTTCTTTTTGGCATGCGAGCTTGCACAAGGGTGTTAGTATGCCCTAGCTCAGCTAGTTCTTTGTAGTATATACCATGGCCTAGGGGCAATTGCTCGTGACAAGGCAATATTCAGTGAGGGCAGTAGTGAATCTTTCAATGGGGAGGTCCTTTCCATTCGTTTTACAACTGGCTTCCCTGTCCACTATATTTTTGGTTGGCTCTAAGCTTATTTCCCAAAGAAAGATTCTCCTTATTCCCCAAGGGCATACGGGATCAATGATGACTTGTCAGGGTACGCTTACCCCCAAATGATGAGAATTACTCAGAAGAAGGCCATCATATTCAGGGGCCCTAATGAGGCACGCTGACTTCTTGCTGATAGCTCTCTTTTCTCTCGTGGGAGCCCTTTCCCTTAAGGTGGCCCCATTGACCATTTCTTTATTAATGCCTTTTGTGATTTTTTGATGGACACACCACTGAAACTTGGGAAGTGATGTAACTCTTAAGTGTTAGGGGATGAATTCTGCCTTATTGGGGTGTCGATGACAAGAAGCTCGAGGCCTACTTCCCTCATAGATTTGCACGCCAACATGGTTTAGGCCAGGGGTGTTCGTTCACGGTGCTCTTTGAGAAGAGGTATGGGAAGAAAAGGGCTATACAAGACCCACATGCTCCAGGTTCAAGGAGTGAATTTTGGACAGACAACAATATGTGAATGGCACGAGAAACTTGCCCTACTCTCACTGGATTGAGCAAGTTCGTTGTTCCTCATTATGATTGAGTCGGCCATGCTACTGGTGGTGGTGGAACCCCACTTATTGAAAGGTGACACATGAGTGGAAAGATATCAACGCCAGTAAGGGTGATACGAAGCATGGGAAAAATTTCACCCCTCCCATCTTTTCTAAAGTTTGTGAGCTTGGCTACCTATTAAACTAGAAAGTACTCAGTATGCCTCAGTCATTTGTTGTATACCACGCTTCCATTCAGTAACTCGCCCTTGAAGGTGATACTGAGTCTCTCTTTGATAATCTCTGCTCTATCCTCAATTGGACTAAGGGCCATGTTGTTCCTGGCCACGAGGGACAACCCACATAGGATGTAAATGCTTTGATAGGGAGTGGGTCGCACTTAGCCCCAACTGTCAAGTCTTGTTATGGTTAGCGTACCAAGGGTGTTTCTATGGAGCCAGGGAACAGGGAAACTTAAGGGAAAAAAGCAAAGAAGAAGAAGGGGGCATCAGAGAGCGCCAAACCCAATGCTTCCTTTAAGCTTGTGGGTCATCAAAAGAGTGCTTGATCTAGCAAACAAGCTTCTTGAGGTCAAGATGCATCTCCCTCTATGCAGCATGCCTTAGGTGAGGTACATGATTTAGCTAAAAGACCTAAGAAAGGTGCATAGAGCAAGGGTTCTCCTAGCCCGACTCCGCTATCAGAGGTGGTACCTCCCATTCAAGATCTAGTTATTGCATCTCTAGAGGTTATCATTGCTCAACCGACTCCTTCTGGTCAAACTTCTTTCAATCTGATTTGCCGTTCAGAGAGCATTCTTGCCTCTATGGTAGAGACAGTTTGCATGGTTATGGAGGCACCTAATGATGGTGGCCCAACTGATGTTGTGAGCACTAAGCCTGAGATAGTGCAGCCCTCGACCATCTCACCACAAGGTCAGGCAGACTTTCCTTGCACAATTATTGAAGAATCAGGCAGTCTTGATTATGATACTGGGGCAATCAGTGCCGTCACAACTATAGAGGTAATGACATAAAAGTACCCACTTCAGCAGTTTCAGACGTAGAGCTTAGATCCGAGCCAGATGCTCCTTCAAGCAAGATTTTGAACCTTGTGGATGTTACAACTCCAGAAATGCCCACTTCAACAGTTTCAAATGTAGAGCCTAGGTTTGAACTAAAAGCAACCCCAGATGAAGCTCTTGTTCCATTCGAATCATCCATTACCATTGAAGCCCCATCTTTAGCCATGGCAAGCTCTCTTTAGCTCCTTCAGTATCAAGTCATTTATTAAACAAGAAGGCTTCTTTGGAAATAACTTTATCACAAACTAGCCTTCAACAATTAAAGGGATGCTCTCTCTCTGATCTTGAACTTGAGATTGTCGTTGTTAGAAGTTGTGTAGCTACCCTGAGCTGTTTCACCTTCGAAAAAGAGACATCCGACATATTCGAAGGTCATTTGAATGACATAGAGTGGTGGAGAGTCTAGGCTTTGCAAAGTGAATATGATGCACAAGAGCTATGCAGAACTCAACTAACTTCCTTAGAAGATTCCCTAGCTCAACAGCGGAACTTGATGGCAGGCTATAATGAAAAGAAAGCCCTTCTCATTGCTTATAAAGATAGCATCAAGAATGAAAAGACAACCTTTCTTGCAAAATTAAAGG